GTCTAGGCGCGCAGGCTTCAGTAGTTGTGGCTCGCAGGCTCTAGAGTTCAGGCTCAGTAGTTGTGGTGCACGGGCTTAGTTGCTCCACGGCATGTGGGATCTTCCTGGACCAGGGCTCGAACCCGTGTCCCCTGCACTGGCAGGCGGATTCTTAACCACTGTGCCATCAGAGAAGTGCAAGGTCTGTCAGGTTTTTGTTTGTTTGTTTTTAAAGACCTTTTTTTTAAAAAATTTATTTTTGGCTGCCTTGGGTCTTCGTTGCTGCACACGGGCTTTCTCTAGTTGCGGCGAGCGGGGTCTACTTTTCGTTGCTGTGCGCGAGTTTCTCATTGCAGTGGCTTCTCTTGTTGCAGAGCACAGGCTCTAGGCGCATGGGCTTCAGTAGTTGTGGCCGCACGGGCTCAGTAGTTGTGGCTCGCGGGCTCTAGAGCGCAGGCTCCGTAGTTGTGAGCACATTTATCCACAAAAAGATATATTGAAGATGGGACTTTCTTGGTGGCTCACAACTATGGAGCCTGCGCTCTTGAGCCAAAACTACTGAGCCCATGTGCCACAACTACCGAAGCCCATGCCCCTAGAGCCCATGCTCCGCCACAAGAGAAGCCACCGCAATGAGAAGCCTACGCACCACAACAAAAAGTGGCCCCCTCTCGCCGCAACTAGAGAAAGCCCTCATGCAGCACCGCAGATCCAGTGCAGCCAAAAATATAAATAAATAAATAAATTTATTTATTTTAAAAAATATATATAGAGGAATATTCACAGGAGCTTTTTATAATAGCCCTAAAGCTAAAACAACATAAATGTTTATCAGCCAGAGAATAAATAAAACAAATAAATTGTAGTATATTCCTTCAATGGTAGATTAATTGTCTATTGCTGCATAACAGATTACCCCCAAATTTAGCAGCTGAAAACAACAGATATCTATTATCTCACATAGTTTCAGCTTAGGACATTTAATTAGGCTGCAGTCATCACTGGGCTTGAATGGGGTTGGAGGATCCACTTCCTGTTGTTACTGGAAGGAGGCTGTTTTTTGCTGGCTGTTGGTAAAAGACCTCAATTCCTTGCTATGTAGTTCCTCAATAGATGTCCACAAGAAGTCAGAGCAAGTGATTTGAGAGAAAGAGATGAGACAGGCTGGGACCTGGGACCCTTTGCTGCTGTGTGCACACCTGGGCAGACATCTCCTCCAGCAACAAAATACAAAGAAAAGTAACTGCATGTCCTGCCAATGCAGGGGACATGGGTTTGAGCCCTGGTCCGGGAAGATCCCACATGCTGTGGAGCAACTAAGCCTGTGCGCCACAACTACTGAAGCCCACGCGCCTAGAGCCCGTGCTCTGCAACAAGAGAAGCCACCGCAGTGAGAAACCCAAGCACTGCAGTGAAGAGTAGCCCCCGCTCGCCACAACTAGAGGAGGCCCGGGCGCAGCAACGAAGACCCAACGCAGCCAAAAATAATTAATTAATTTAAAAAAAAAAGAAAACTGCAAGCATGTGCAGTTGGGGCAAATTATGGACAACAGATACAAAAAGACCAAAAACCCAACTGCCACTTCTGAAGAGCCGGGAGCAAAAGCAGGGTACTGAGCACGCCCCCTGCACTCAACCCCACCTAAGGGATGGGCAAACCTCCTAAGCCACCCCTCCAGCTGACCCCAGGACACACCTCTACCTTCACCCCATGTAAGGAAGCAGCTAGCCCCCCGCCCCACCCCGGGGAGTGAGCAAGGGAACTTGTTACTTGTTCTCCCTACTGCTGCAGCGGAAACCTCAATAAAGCCTTGCCTGAATTTCTTATCTGGCCTCTTATCAATGTCTATAGATCAAGGAGGCCAAGAACCCTGGTGAGTAACAATAACACAACTCCTTTTACGACCTAATCCCTAAGTCACACACCACCACTTCTGCGTTTTTCTATTTATTATGAACAAGTCACTATGTCCAGTACACACTCAACAGGAAGGAATACGCAAGAGCGTGAACAACAAGAGATGGAGATCATTGGGGCTCATCTTGAAGGCTGGCTACCACAGTCTGCTCTCTGGCCACTAACGATTCATGTCCCTCCAACATGCAAGCCGCACCCCCACCCAAAGGCCCCAAAAGTTACATCCTATTGTAGCAGCATCTCCAAGTCCAGAATTTTGCTCTGTAGGTCAGATGTGGATGATCGTAGTTTCTTAACTCCAGCACCTAGACTACAGTGCTACTTGATCTGTAGAACTTTAACACTGAAGAGACAAGTTATATGCCCCTGACACATCCAATATACAATTGTGAGACAGGCATAGGATAACCGTTACAAACATTCCTATTCAAATAAGGGGTGAAATGGGGGGCGCAAAGGAGTCACTGGGGCACAGTAATTCTGCAGTTCAGTCTCAAAGTCTACGAATAATTCTCCATGGCTCAACTCTATCATCTGGGCTCTTGGTTCCACCCTTTGAATCATACTTCCTTTTTCATGATAGGTAGTATGTATTTACAGATGAGTAATTTCCTCAGCATGCTTCATGCTTCTAGAAATTTGGGGTGTCCAGAGGCGTTTCATTTTGTACCATCTCTGTCCCTTCTAGCTGCGGTGTTTCTTCTAATATGATGGTCTTAAAATACTTCATAGGTTTCCTTTGAATCTCATTGGGGTTCACTCTATTGGACCAAAGTTCCAAAGACCCTATTGTTTGAGAGGCTCTGAGAGGCACGTCTTTAATCTCTTTAAAGAGTTGCTATTCTGGGGCTTCCCTGGTGGCGCAGTGGTTGAGAATCCGCCTGCCAATGCAGGGGACACAGGTTCTATCCCTGGTCTGGGAAGATCCCACATGCTGTGGAGCAACTAAGCCCGCGAGCCACAACTACTGAGCCTGCGTGCTGCAGCTACTGAAGCCCGTGCGCCTAAAACCCGTGCTCCACAACAAGAGAAGCCACCACAGTAAGCTGCTCACCGCAACTAAGAGTAGCCCCCGCTCACTGTAACTAGAGAAAGCCTGCATGCAGCAATGAAGACCCAACACAGCCAAAAATAAATAAAGTTTAAAAAAAAGAGTTGTTCTGACTGAATGGTACTTTGAGCTGCCATCTTTGATTTTTCTGAGTTTTTTTAAAAAGATTTTACAACATTTGCCTCTCTGTTTTCTAAGTTTTCCCCATTCAACCCATAATGATTGATCAACTGGAAAATGGGAGGAAATTTTTTAGACAAAGATGATGTTTTCTTATTTAACAATAAATTGGGCAATCAAAGGGGAGGGGGTTCGATGACTTACAATTACTTTTAGGGAGGGACAAGAAAAAAATTTTAAATACAGTTCTCTCTCTGCCTATGTGGGCCACTATCCCTCTTTAGTATGCATTGTGCATCTACATTTTACAGTAACAAGATTCCCTTAGAAGATGCAGGAGAAAAAAAAAAAAAAAGATGCAGGAGTGCCTGCTTGCCAAAAAAATAAAAAAGCAATTTTCTCCTGGCACTAGCGAGGTAATCCTTAGGAGAAAACATTCCTTTTCAATCCTGTAAGGCAGGGGTCCCCAACCCCACCGGTCCTTGGCCTGCTAGGAACCGGGCTGCACAGCAGGAGATGAGCGGCAGGCCAGTGAGCAAAGCTTTGCGTGCCGCTCCCTGCCGCTCCCCGTCGCTCGCGTTACCACCTGAACCATCCCACGCCCCCGTGCGTCTCCCATGAAACCGGTCCCTGGTGCCCAAAAGGTTGCAGACCGCTGCCGTTAGGGGTCATGATGACCCACTGCTTGCCTTGCACGTGCAGATCTGGGCTATGTAAACCATCAATATGTTACTTTGATGTATAATCCTTTGTCTCAAAACCATATAATTGTGCTTTGACTTCTAAAAGGTGGAACAGTTCTCAGAGCTTTCTGAAAGACTGTCTCCCAGGTTATAATCCTCAGGTTGGCTCAAATAAAATTTTCCATTTCTTTCTTTGATTGGCTGTTGATTAAGAGGTATTTTACAGTCACAACTCCTTGTTTTTTTCTGGCAGTACCCTGGATTTGATCTTTACTATAAAGCTATTTCTTAATTTTGTTTCTTTTTTTAAAAGATTTTTTTGATGTGGCCCATTTTTAAAGTCTTGTCACAATATTGCCTCTGTTCCACGCCTTGGCTTTTTTTTTTTTGCCACAAGGTATGCGGGATCCCAGCTCCCCAACCAGGGATCGAACGTACACCCCCTTCATTGGAAGGTGAAGTCTTAACCACTGGACGGCCAGGGAAGTCTCTAATTTTGTTTCTTTATTTTAGCCATCTGGAGAGGCTGAGAACTTTCAAAGTCATCAAGAATATCAAGGTTTGGGAATTCCCTGGCGGTCCAGTGGTTAGGACTCTGTCCTTCCATTGCAGGGGGCACAGGTTCGATCCCTGGTCGGCGAACTAAGATCCCATGAGTCGCGCGGCCAAAAAAAGAAAAAAAAAAAAAATCAAGGTTTAACAGACCTTCCTTTTGCTTATCTCATTTCTCTTTCATTTAAATATGAACAGCAAGAAGAAACTAGGGACAGCAGCTGGGAGGCCGTCATGGTTCCTGGACATGTTCTATATCTTGACCTGGTTGGAGGTTATTTGGTTGTATGGATATGTAAAAAATAATCAATGTGTACACTTAAGATACACAAACTTTATTGTATTCCCGTTACACGTTCTTATTTATTTATTTTTGGCTGCATTGGGTCTTCGTTGCAGCGCGTGGGTTTTCTCTAGTTGCAGCGAGCAGGGACTGCTCTTTGTTGCGGTGCACAGGCTTCTCATTGCGGTGGCTTCTCTTGTTGCAGAGCACGGGCTCTAGGCGCGCGGGCTTCAGTAGTTGTGGTATGTGTGATCAGCAGTTGTGGCTCGCGGGCTCTAGAGCGCAGGCTCAGTAGTTGTGGCGCATGGGCTTAGTTGCTCCGCATCATGTTGGATCTTCCCGGACCAGGGCTCAATCCCGTGTACCCTGGATTGGCAGGCGGATTCTTAACCACTGCGCCACCAGGCAAGTCCCAACACGTTGGGTTTTTTTTTTTTTCCCCCAAACGTTCATGTTTTTTTCCGACATGCTCTGAGCGTGAGCACCTGTGCGCGGAGAGCGCCGCGCGCGTGCATGAGCGTTCCGAGGCTGGAAGCAGAGATGGGTGCGCGTGCACACGCGCGGGGCAGAGGAGGCCAGTGGCAAGGGCGGGTGTGCGTGCGTGTACGTGCTCGCGCAGAGGCTGGAAGTAGTGCTGCGTGCTTGCGCGCGCAGAGGCCGGAAGCGGGGCTGGCGTTCCGGGTCAGTTGCGAGACATGGAAGGTTTCGCGGAGGGCTGTAGGCTGCCGTGCGAGGGGCCGGCTGAGGAGGCCGAGCCCCAGGTGGCGGCCTGGAGCGGGGACAGCGGTAACGTGTCCCAGAGCCACAGCAGCGCGTCGGTGCCGTGGGAGGATGAGGGCCTGGAGTCGGGCGCGCCCAGCCGGGACCTGCCGCTGCTGCGCCGCGCCGCCTCGGGCTACGCCGCCTGCCTGCTGCCTGGCGCGGGGGCGCGGCCCGAGGTCGAGGAGCTGGACGCGAGCCTGGAGGACCTGCTCACCAGGGTGGACGAGTTTGTGGGCATGCTGGACATGCTGCGCGGCGACTCCTCCCACGTGGTCAGCGAGGGCATGCCTTGCATTTACGCCAAGGCCACCGAGATGCGGAGAGTGTACAGCAAGATCGACCGGCTGGAGGCCTTCGTCGGGATGATCGGCGCCAGTGTAGCCAGGCTGGAGGAGCAGGTCTCCAGGGCGGAGGCCGAGCTGGGGACGTTCCCCAGTACGTTCAGGAAACTCCTGCGCACAATTAACGTGCCCTCCTTCTTCAACAAGGCGCCCTCCAGCAGGTCCCAGGGGACCAGCTACGAACCCCCCGTCGTGTTTCGAACCGAAGACCACTTTCCTTGTTGCAGCGAAAGATCTCAGGTCTGAGTCCGCGGGACAGCGCTGCCAGAGGACGGGTCTGAAATTCTCTCGAGTAGTAATCAAACCTGTTGAAAATCCTGTAACTAGACATACATGATGTTGGAGTATGGAATTGTAAAGTTTATTTTTTGCACACTTGATTTCTCAGTATCTTCATCATTTCACGAAGGATGTGTGATTTTCTACGTCTTCCAGTTCAAACTTGAAACTTCAAAGCTGCTTGGTGGGGGGCATCGGGGAAGCAAAATGAATGAATTTACCTGGGCACTGTGGCAGAACTGTTATTTTTATGGATTTTACAGCTCAACTAACAGTATTACCTTTTCAAGATGTGTATATTTGTATACCCTTAGGAAAACTGAGCCTTTAAAGCCTTGTTAATTCGATCCTAATAGTGATTCAGTTTTCAATAGCTTACTTCTAGGATAGATGGTAAATTATTTAAAATTATATTAAGCTTTCCATATAATGGATTGCAAACTGAAGGAAATTATACAATTTCTGAGAAAACGTATTGATTTATTGCAACTCATTCTGAAGTTTTTTTGAAAGTATGACCTCACAGTCTAAGTTTGTCCATAGCAAACGTGTCTATATGATTCCCAACGTTTGGTTTATAATTAAACATTAATAAAAAATTTAAATTTTATTGGAAAGGGTTTCCATCTGAAAAGGACTGTACGTATTTTCCTTTTTGCTTGTTTGAAAATAGACACGTATCTGATTTAAGGAGTGGGATAAAGAAAGTTCACAACATTAAATATTTATTTCTCCTCAAAGTGAACAGTTAAATTATTTGTGTGGTAATATGACTGGTATCAGGATTTTGTTCTTTCACCCCGACGACGTGGAATCTTAAAGATCCCTTGCAGGTACAACAGGCTTTGATCTTGATTTTAATCTGTTTTATAAGGTGGTCCTCCTAGGTAGTAGAACTCAAGCATAGAGCTTAGGTTGCTTTTGTGTCATTTATCATAGATCTTTGAGGCTTGTAAAGTAGGTGTATTCTCAGCTGTGCGTTGTGAAAAGTCTGATTGTGTAATCTCCGACCTTAGCTTTCATGGACCTTCTGTGTCACACATTTATATATATATATTTTTTTTTTTAATTTATTTTATTTCTGGCTGCGTTGGGTCTTCATTGCTTTGCGCAAGCTTTCTCTAGTTTCCGTGAGCGGAGGCTACTCTTCATTGTGGTGCGCGGGCTTCTCATTGTGGTGGCTTCTCTTTTTGCAGAGCACGGGCTCTAGGTGCGTGAGCTCAGTAGCTGTGGCTCACGGGCTCTAGAGCGCAGGCTCCGTAGTTGTGGCGCACGGGCTTGGTTGCTCCGCGGCATGTGGGATCTTTCCAGACCAGGACTTGAACCCGTGTCCCCTGCATTGGCAGGCGGATTCTTAACCACTGCTCCACCAGGGAAGCCCTGGAAGATAATTTACATCATTATCTGTGCACCTTATATCTAAGGGACCTTGGATTCTGAAATTCTCTTAGTCGTTCGGTGTTGTTTCTGAGGTTTCTACTAGAGATTAGTGCAGGGCCTCATTGGGAATGGGGACTGGAAGCTGGTTTGCATAGTACAAGACAGATGTTAGACCCAGCTCATTTTTCTGTCTCCAGAATGGAGATTGGGGGAGCCAGGCACACCCCGCTCTAGCTGGCACTGCCCCCTTCAGACCTTCTCCTGGTTCCCTCCTCTCCTATCCCTGACCAGCTGGAGAGTTAAGAGGGCCCCTCTGGATCTCAGAAAACTGTCCTTCCACCTCTTCCTAAGTCAGTAGCAAAGTTGGGACGGAGGCCCCCAGTGCTGAGGCTGGGGGAGAGCGGGGTGTGTTGTCATTCTGGTGACTCCTGCAGACTGTGTCTGCTGCCGGGGTCTAGAGTTCCCCCACCTTCTAGAAGAATAAGCAGGGATGGGCATGGGGTCGCATAAAGGCTGAGAGGAGCACACCACCCGTCACCCTGGAGTCGATGAGCTTTTTTCTTTTAATTTTAATTGGAGTCTAGTTGACGTACAGTGTTGTGTTAGTTCCTCCTGTGCAGCACAGTGAATCAGCTCTACGTATACACACAACCACTGTATTTTTTAGATTCTTTTCCCACATAGGTCATTACAGAGTATTGAGCAGAGTGCCCTGTGCAATTAGCTTGTTCTTCATTCCTACACCCAAGAGCACAGTAGCCACTTAGAGATTTCAGGAGTACCTAGGACATCCCCTCGTGTGTCCACAGGCAGCCTCGGGCGACCAGGAGTCGCCCTGGAAGCACACATAAAATTGGGTGCTATTTATTCACACATAAAATTCACACATGTGGGACTTTCCCTGGTGGCGCAGTGGCAAAGACTCCACGCTCCCAATGCAGGGGGTCCGGGTTCGATCCCTGGTCAGGGAACTAGATCCCACATGCATGCTGCAGCTAACAGTTCGCATGCCACAACTAAGGAGCCCACATGCAGCAACTAAGACCCGGAACAACCAAATAAAGAAAGAAATAAAATTCACACGTGAAATAAGGTGGTTAAGTAGCTTGTGGCTTTTTATCCTCCAAGCCAGAACTTTCAGGAATATGAGCCTTAGACCATATGTGAGGAGGTGTGTCCATCGTGAACGTGAGAGTAGGGGTCCTGGAGTCAGACAGCTCGGGACATACGAAGGACATACTGAGAGGAAAAATCTAATAATGGTCTGGAACTTAAAGTTTTAAACTAGCTTAGCTAAACAACTGTCAGAAGGGACAGCATAGGAAGAGGTGAAGCGTTATTTCGTAAGGATTTCTTCCAGCTGCTGAAAGTGACTAAGGAGAAAGGTGGGCTCAGGGTGGCAGACGGGGTCCACGTCACCAGCCGTCCTTGGCTGTGACACAAGTAACAAGCAAGTGCAACGCAGCTGCAATTCTCAACTTGTTACTGACTTAGGAAGAGGTGGAAGGACAGTTTTCTGAGATCCGGAAGGGCCCTCTTAACTCTCCAGCTGGTCAGGGGTGGGAGAGGAGGGAACCAGGAGAAGGTGAAGGGGGCAGTGCCAGCTAGAGCGGGGTGTGCCTGGCCCCCCCAACCTCCATTCTGGAGACAGAAAAATGACCTTGGGCCAACACCTGTCCTGTCTGCCTCATCACCCCTGCTTTCTTTACCAGGAACTTTGCCTCATGAACTCATGGCAGTATCTTCTGAAGACTTTGACTAGGAGTGATGTGCTGTGAATAGTAAGAGCGCACCTCCAATTCATCAGTGTGCCTCCCAGCACCCCCCGAAAACATCCTCAGTGCATCCTCTGTGTCTGTCCCCACCGCCGCCCCGTCTCACCTGGACCACTCAGCCCTCTCTTAAGTGGTTTCCTGCTTCCCCCATCCCCTCTCCAAGCCACTTTTCATATAGCACACAGCAGCGCAAGGGGTCTTTCAGAAATCAAATATATTGAGTTTTGCCTGAAACGCCCATCAGTTTCTCTTGTTATGTTTGAATAAAATCCAAAATCTGTCCTATGGCCTGCCAGGCCTGCAGGATCTGGCCCCTACGCCCTCACTGGTCCTGGGCCTCTCTCCTCTCACTCATTCACATCTCTCCAGCTTCACCTGGATCCTGTGAGATGCCCAGCGTGTTCCCCTCATAGCACTCACCACCACTGTGTCTGGGTCGTTATTAGATGGCTGTCGGCCCACCTCCAGGCGGGCATGGGCTCTGGCAGCCCCACTTCTCCTCGGCTGTATTCTCACCGTGCCCGTCACACTCAGATACCTGTTGAACGAATGACTCACACTGGCGGAGAGAATGAACAGCTAGATGAAAGCCAGGCACCCCAAAAGGAACAGGAGGCAAAGCAGATACAGTAACTCAATCACATGTTTGCTGGGAAATCAACCACCACAGGTGGGCTGAGGACCCCAAGGGAAATAAGACGTGGCTCTTCCCCCAAGAGCTTGACAGGCCAGTGGGAGACAAGGTCAGACACCAACCTAATCCAATCCAAATTTCATGGACGGAACTTGCTAAACCCGTACAAGCAATCCTGTGGGCTCCAAGAAGGCCGCGTTCTTAACCGTGCCTCAGGGATATTGATACAGAACTTGCAGAACTATCTAAAGAGACTCTGAAAAAGTCAAAAACTTAAAGCTATTTGTTAAAAAAAAATTTTACAAAGTGACCTAAATCCTTAGTCCCAGTAATAGAAAAGGAAATGCATTTCTTTTAGAATGAGAGATTTTTCGTTACGATTTTCATCCTCAAAGGGGAGGGGTCAGTCTGTGGTCACATGAGACCCTGGAGCCAGAGGAAGGGAATAACCGGGAACTGTCGCCCCTGTAACTACGGGATTGCCCTCGGCTGCAGGAGCAGCTCCTTTCCAGCAGAGGGAGCTGTGGGAACAGGAACAGCCGCCTGAAAGCAGCTGGTCCAGCCCAGCCTTCGGGAAATAAACACGCCAGCACCGGGCAGTCAGAGCCACCAGGCCCTGTCTGCCCAAGGGGCTCACAGTGTGAGGACCACAGCTGTACTCCAAGGCACAGCTGGCTGCTCTTCTTGCCCGGGGCATGGGAGGGTGGACGTGGTAGCTGAGGGCAATGCCCCTCACCCTGCTTGCTGTCCTCGCAGCTCTTCTCTCTACCGGCATGAGCATGCTCATTTATTTGTTTGCTTGTTTTTTCTGTCTCCCCTGCTAGGGCAATCTTTGTCCGTTTTGTGCAGCCCTGGATCCGTGGCTACCATGCTGGCTGCAGCCCTGGATCAGTGGCCACCATGCTGGCTGCAGCCCTGGATCAGTGGCCACCATGCTGGGTGCAGGGTAGGCACTCCAAACATGTCTGCTGGATGAATGAAAGGGGACAGACAGGAGGATGAGCAAGACGTAGAGAACCAGGAGGGCGGAAATGGCAAGGGCCACATCCTTCAGGCTCCTCCGATGTTAATTCAGCTCCTTGTCCTGGCAAAACCAGAAAAACGATTTCAGTCTTTTCTCGGAAAAAAAAAAAAGCAGATCCCCCCCCGACACACACACACACACGTCACCTTCCTTCCCCCTCACCCCCAAATATCTGTCACTTTCTAGACTGTGAAAATGCTGACCCATAGACTTGCTTGATAGCACCTTGTTCCCTGTGACACTATTCATTGAGACAGGAACCAGCAGGATGGGAGGTTTGGGGGGGTGATGTGCTATTAGTGATGTCACAGTTCTCAGTAGTTTGGGACACCTGAGTTTCAGGTGCCAGCACTATTACTTTATGAGATTGTTCAGGAAGGCATCTGAGTTGTGAATGGAAGTGTTCTTTTATTCTTGTTAACTGATTTTTTAGTCTTTTTTCCCAAAAAAAATTGTGGTGAAATACACATAATATAAATCTACCATCGTAACCACTGTTCGGTGTCCAGTTAGTGGCATTAAGTACTTTCGCACTGCTGTGCAGCCGTCACCACCATGCATCTCCACAACTCTTCATTTTGCAAAACAGAAACTCCGTCCCCATGAAACACCTCTGCACTCCCTCCCCTCCCCCAGCCCCTGGTGGCCACCATTACAGTTTCTGTCTCTGTGGACTTGACTGCTGTAAGGAAGGACCTCATACGAGCGCATTCACATAAGTATTTGTCTTTTTGCGACTGGCTTGTTTCACTGAGCATAATGTCTTCAAGTTTCATTCCTGTTGTAGTGTGTGACAGGATTTCCTTCCTTTCTAAGGCTAAATCATATTCCACTGTATGGGTAGACCACACTGTGCTTATCCATCCATCTGTTTTTTTGTTTTTGTTTTTGGCCATGCCGTGTGACTTGCGGGATCTTAGTTCCCCAACCAGGGATCGAACCCGGGCTCACGGCAGTGAAAGTGTTACCGAGTCCAACAGGCCAATAAATCGGGAGATGAGGTGATGAGGCAAAAGGAATATGACTTTATTTGGAAAGCCGGCAGACTGAGAAGATGGCAGACTAATGTCTCCAAAACACCATCTTCTCAGGGTTTGGATGCCAGTTTCTTTTAGAGAACAGACAGGGAGAGGAGGTGGGGAAGTAAAGTAAAAAGACCGTAAGTCTCGCAAATATCTCCTAGAATGGCCAGCTTCGGGGAGGGGTGTGTTAATTTCATCTTTCTTGCAGCCATTCACAGGTGGACAGGGTCAGGATGCTTCCCT